CTTTCTGCCGGCCAAAAACATACTGATAAAATATGTTTCAAAAGCTTTCAAATTCTTCTGATCTTCCTTTTTCGTTTGAAAATTTGTCAAAAAGAAAACAACTTTTGAAATAAAATATTTATGAAAACAGCCAAAAATGCTTTGAAACATCATAACGTAATTATGAAAGAAAAAAGAAAGGATTTTCTGCAAATGTCTAAAAGAACTGGTCATTATTTCGACGTATTGAACCAACAAGTGCGAATGGCTTTTTCATAACACTCATTTTATTCGGTTTTCGCAAGATCGAAGAACGATAAAGAAGTCAGTTTGTATGACAACTTCATATCATGCTCAACCTCATTTAATAAGTGTTAATTAAATATCGGCAAATATTTCGCTAAAATTGCGCGTTACCCAAACACGCGAGATCTGAGATTGTCATGGCTTACAGTTTCATACAATTGCATAACTAGTCTGGCGTTCCAATCATTGTAGTCGAATAAATATCTGGAAATACTCACGTCCAGTATTGTCTTCCGCCATATTTCCTGTCAAGAAATAGTATTAAAGTTTATGTTACAGCAAAATGCTTCATAGTACGCATTAACTTTATGTATTTGACGTATGGATGTCTTAAACATGGTGTACAAAAGTAATTGATATTTAGCGTGTTCGTTTACTACTTTGCATTACACAGAATTTTTTTCTTCATATTATTATATTCATATTTATTATTCTTTATTATTAATATACGATCACATGCATTGGTCAATCACGAGTCTTCAGTAGGGTCAGATTACAATCCTGGACAAAACTATCTGCGACCCTCTATTAAAACAATGCCTTGTAGCTTTTTTACCAATTAGAGCGGAATAATTTACTCGTTTGCCCCCATCCTGCACCATCCAAAATAGTGTTGGACGTTTTAACCGTATTCTACGAATGCAATCGCCATTGAATGGTGGGGGTTATGGCCGGGGAGGTTTTCTAAATATGCGATAATATTACGAGATTTGGTCAAATAATTGGAAGTGTCATGCACAGAAGTTTTGCCCAGGATTTAATAAGATTTATACGCCGTGCAAACACCAGCACAAGCCGCTGTAACTGTTAGACTGTATATAAAGTGCAATTCAGGAATGTTTTATAAACGATCGCTTGTATATATTGCATACACATTGTTTTTATTGTATATATTGTATATATTGTATATATTGGATACATTGTGTATATTGCATTTATACATTCACAACATTCTAGCTATTTCTTCCTGAGAATAAGCAAAGAGAGTTTATTGAATATTATTACATGTAAATATCCCATAAATACCAGTTTATTATAGGGTCACATCGAATTTAAAGTTCAGCAGGGAAGAGCTAGCGGGGCTGAAAAATTGAATTCAATGGAAAATTATATGAATTCAAGAGCTGTGTACAGATAGCTCGCTCTATAGATTCCTGATTACTCAGTAACTTAACTTACGTAACTTACGTACATGCCTTTTGAACTTCAAATAGGTGCCACTTTCGAGAAAATGCTACATTCTACGAGTAAAGGCAGTGGATGTTGAATATATTGGCTACTCGCCTACTCATATTGGATGAGTGGATTTGTGGATATAATTCATGTTGCCAAATGCCCCATTGACAAGACCGTTACATTTTTTTGTAAAGCTCAGTGTGTCCATCTCAAAGGATTTGTGATGACTCACATATAAAAGTGTGGATGTGTGTCCTTGAAAAGCTGGAACATTTGAGGCATGTAATCATGTACTTGCAGTCCTCAATGTATAAAATTAATTATGCTTACAACAAGCAATATATTTCCCTTTCCTGTGTGCCTGTACCAGTGTTCCCCAAGGATGGAACAAAGGAACATGAAAAGAAGTAAATCCAAGCAAGGTTAAAAATTTAATATTTAGGAAAGAATTTGACCCAAGAAAACCTGAGAACAGAAATATTACCAATGAAGAGTTTCTTTATCATTTATGTATTTAATTTTTCTCCCTTATGTTACAGTTCCATAGACAACATTTACATATATTTTTCCTTATATTAATTTGGGCTAAAGACCTACTAGATACCTTGTCAAGCTTTTTGCTTTAGACCCCTAGTAAAGGTTTATAGTTAACTGTTAGATTTATAATATATTATATTACAGTCAAATCAGAGAGAGAATTTTCAGAGTAATAGAGATTAAAGGAAATTAACTACAACACAAATATAAGATAAAAATATGACTGTAGATACATGTTGCAAGATACAGGATAATAAGCAAATAGAATGTTTCATAAAAAAATGCGGCTTAATTTGTTTTTTGAAGATGTATTGAGAGTTTATGTCTCTATTTTTTTTCTAGTGAATTCCATACATCAACTCCATTATTAGAGAGAATATGTTATACATAATTTGTTCTTTTATACCACTTGTGAAGTTTTGATGAGTTTCTTGTGCCATTTTGATGAATTTAGTTCACAGTCACAAAAATTATCAAATCAGGCAGGTTTTTAAGATTATTGAACAGCATTGTAGATACTGTTCCTTCTGCTTGTGTTTTGCTCTAAGTTGGCTATGGGGGTGGTACTGCCAACGAGAACAACTCAACTCTCAATATCTCTCATTAGTATAAATTTTGCACATCAAGATAAGCTTTCGCGCGTTCTGATTGGTTAGTTGACAAGTAAATCTGAGGCATTATTTACCACCTGGGTAGTAAAGTAAAAAAATAGGGGTTTCTTCCTCTGGTTGAGGGACTTGTCGTGGGACCTGTTCATTCGCGGGGTGTTCCGTATCATCTTCTTCGTCTTTTCGTTCAGCTGGTTTATGGTATTTCTTTGGGTGTGCTGAGTTACGTTTGTACTTTTGTCCGTGTTGATCTTGAAGTTCTAACTGCGAACCGTTAATCTTTATGATGGTAAAGGAAACGCTGGAAAATTGTGTTGAATATTTGTTCGTATGCGGCTGACGTAGCAATACCTTGTCTCCAATTTTTAAATCTTTTTCCCGAGCTCGCCGTTTTCCGTCGGCGTATTCTTTCGCTTGTTGCTTTGCTTTGGCGTCCACTTGTTGAGCTCTCGTGTCGTCATACGATTACTTGATTTTACACTTCGTAGTTTGGTACGAAGTTCCCGATGCATCAACATCATCGCTGGGGTTTCTCCGGTGGATTGATGAGGCGTTGTATGGTAGTTGCGCAGCATCATTGGTAGGGATTTTCGCCAATCTCTTTCAGTTGTGTTTGAGGTAAGGACGTGCTTGAGTATAACTTGGTCGAATTTCTTTATTTGACCATTTGCTTGAGCCAATATGGTGTGCCGAAATGCAGTTGGATTCCCCAGGAAGTTAGGGTTTGCTTGAATTCTTGCGATGCGAAATAACTGGCATTATCGCTCTTGATTTGTTTAGGATATCCGTGTGTTGTAAAAACATTGTCGAGCCATTCTAAGATTTTCGCTGACGTGACTGTTCGAAGTATTGTTGTTTCGGGCCATCTTGAGTAATAGTCGTTGAGGCTAACTACATATTCTCCTGTAGGGAATGGACCGCATACATCAATTGCAAGCTCTGTCCATGGTTAATCTGGAAGCTTGATAGATTGTACCGGTTCTGGTCTGTCTGGTTTTCGTACGATTTGGCAAGGATGACATGTTCGAATGTGTTGTTTGATGTCCTTGTCCATGTTGGGCCACCATAACTTAGAGCGGATGCGTTGTTTCCTTTTCCTCATACCCGCATGATCCTCGTGTGCTAATTTGATTGCTTTGCTTCGCAATTCTGTTGGCAGGATAATTCGATTGCCACGTAGTATGATATTGTCTACGATGCTTAATTCTTGTTCAAGGGGTTTGTATTGTGATGGAAGCTTATGGGGTTGGTTGTTCTCGATGCATTGTCGAACTTGAATCAATTCGGGGGTCAGTTTTCGAGTGTTCTTGGATCTCTTCAGTGTTCATGGCAATAGTCGTTAACTGCTCTGCAAGGTAGTGGACATATCGATCTGCACAGCTTTCCATATTACTTCTCGGGATATTGTTGGGTAACTGAGAAAGTGCATCAGCTAAATTTTGTGGACCTGGTCTGTATATCACGGTGAAATCGTATTCCTGTAATCTAAGTAACCATCTTTCTACTCGTGCTGGCGCTGGTTTTCCGGTTGATTTGGGTTGCCATATAAGTATAGATGGAAGTGCGTGTTTGCATCCAAGTACAATGGCTAACGCCTCTTTCTCAATTTGTGAATACTTCATTTCGGTTTCGGTAAGAGAACGACTTCCAAATGCAATGGGGCGGTAGGTGCAATCGGATTGTTGTTGGAGGAGCACTGCGCCAACAGCCCAAGGTGATGCGTCCACGAATACTCGAGTTGGTGTTGAAATGGAATCATGAGCTAGGATTGGGGCTCTGGTGATGGCATCCTTTAATTTCACGAAACTGCTTTGTTGTTCCTCTCCCCAATGGAACTTGGTTTTCTCTTTTAACAGCTGTTGAAGGGGGCCGGTAGTTGTGTTGTAATCTTTGATGTATCGCGAACAATAGTTGACGACACCAAGGAAGGAGCGTACTTCTGCTGTTGTTTTGGGAGCTGGGGTATTGACTACTGATTCGATTTTCTTCTTGTCAGGGTGGATTCCTCGGCTCGAAACTATATGACCGAATACGTTCATTTCTGGAACTGCAAATAACTCTTGGGGAATTTCAAGGTAAGACCACTACTTTCCATGGTTTGAAGGAGCTCGTCAAGTTGCTTGATATGTTCGGTTATGTCTTTCGACCATAGCCAAATGTTGTCCGATATATTTTGACAGTTCGGGATGTGTTTGATCAGGTTGTGTATGATCTCGTGGAAATACTCTCCGGACGGACTAGCACCCATGACGAGACGTTGAAACTGGTATGGTCCATCGTCTGGTGTTTGGAATGCAGTCATGGGGGGTGATTCTTCAGCCAATGATATTTGTATGTAGCCTTGAGAAAGATCTACTTCTGTGAAAATTGTTGCACCCTCCATTGTGTGTAAGATGTCGTTTACGGTGGGGAGAATTGCACTGGGCGTCGTTTGAGGGCTTGATTAGGGACTCGCATGTCAAGAACAAGTCGAAGGTCTCCGCCTTTCTTTGGTATGGGTATTAGAGGTGATAGCCTTGGAGTCACTCCTTTCACCTTTTCAATAATACCTTGCTCTTCCATCTCGTGGGGTTTCTCATTCACTTTCTTTCGCATGCTGTGAGGCAGTCGTCGGCTGTTCTGAGCGACGAAGGAAACAGTTGGGTCGATTTCTAACTTGACTTCGCAATTCTTAAGGTTTCCCATCCCTTGGAACACTTGGTGATGCTTTTGCAGGATCTGTGCAATTCTAGGATCTGGATGGTCGGTGGAAATGGAGTTGATGTTGATATTGAGTAGTCCAAGAGCAGTGGAAGTGTTGTAACTCAATAGACAGGTGTTGTTATCTTTCGTTACCAGAAAGATGCTGGTTGTTGTTTTCGAATGGTATTGAGTGTTTGCAGTAAATTTCCCAAGGAGATGAAGTGGTTGTTTTGCTCCATAAGCGAATACCTTTGTTGTTGTTGTTGGCTGCAGCTGTATACCAGGGTTTTGCTGATTGATTTTCTTGAAGTGTTCATAATTGAGAATGTTCACAGATGATCCTGTATCAATTATTGTTGGGACAGGCACGTTTGCAATCTTGATCGTTGTTTGTGGTGTTTTCGTTGATGCCATGATAGTGTAAATAAATTCTTTATCAGTGTCGCTTTGCTGGTCTTCTGACAGACCACAAATTTCCTTTCGATTATTCCGCTGTTGTTGATTGTGACGTGATGGGCGTGTTTTTGTCGTTGCGTCGACAAGCAATGTTTTCCAAAATGACCCATTTTTCCACATTCGAAACACCTTTTTCCTGCGGCTGGACATGAGGATTTTCCTCCGATGTGTGGATAAGAACCACCGCAATTGCGACATTTTGCGTACTTTGCTTTGCTGGTGCGTTGTACTGGGTGTTATTACCCTGGGAATTATGTCCCCTCTAGCCTTCTTGCCAATTCTTGTCTTTGATGAAATTTGTTTGTCTATAAGGCGTATTTTTGTCCTCTTCTAGTATTTTGATAATGCTTTTAAATCTGGCTCATCGCGTAGAGCTTTACGGCGAAGGCGTGCATCCGATGTTTTATGTTGATTATTTGAGTTCGTATTTCCGCTTCCTCGTTATCAAATTCTCATGTACTGGCTTTTTCCTTTAAACGACGGTAAAATTCATTGAGTGTTTCTCCTGATGATTGAGTAATTTGACGAAATTCGTATATTTCCATGTCCTTATTAATAGCTGGGTCGAAACGTTCGGTTAAACTTTGTACAGCTGAATCATTGTCTGTGCCAGTGCTTGGCAATGTATAAAAAATATCGTTTGATGTTTCTCCCACATACGTTAGCAAAAGACCTCTTTTAACGGTTGGATCGGTTTCACGAAGGCTTATTAGGAGATTTTCAAACCGGCGAAGCCATTTTCGCCATCTAAGACCAGTATTTGTTGGATTTTAAAGCGGGTCAAACGGGGGAAAGGGCGGTAAACCACTACGGGGTACTGATAGTTGTGTTGTAGAACTTGTCGCTGCTTGGGGACTTTCGGGTGATTCGTTTGGCTGATCACTTAACATTTCTTATTGTACGACAAAATTGCTTTCGTTTGTTACCTGAATCTTGTTTTGATGTTCTCTCGATCTCGCGATATTTAAGTTTTTATCCTCGTCGCCACTTTCGTGTCTTGCTTTATATTTAATACATATCATCTCTACTTTGTTTACAATATATATGGGAAAACTACTGTTAATTAATTATGTTAAGTTATGATAATGCATTACTGAGATAAATTAGTGAGTATTAGTGCTAAGTTAATGAATAATATATTTAATTACGATACGTCACCGTGATATTCTTTTAAATCCACGATACTATTTCTTTTGATATGTCATGTTTTCATTGTTCTGTATCAACTGTGTGGCGTTCTGACCGCTGTATTGTGTTTTCGAAACTTGTAAAGTGAAAAGTGTTATTAAAACTTTATTTCGAACGATTTCATTTTACCACATTTCTCAACCATTTCCTGAAAAAAATATTGTTAAACAGAAACTATTTTTTAATTCTAAGTCTGGTGAAAAAGTAATTCCGTTGTTGTGTTTATATGCTAAGCAGAAGTCAATAAAAACAACTTTGTAATAAAGCAATAAAGTCACACAAGAAGCCATTTTGAAAGCGTTTGCGCACAAGAAACACTGCAACATGATAGTGACAGTAACCGTGAACAGGCCGAATTCCCTTTAATTGAACTGATATCTGGATATTTTATTTTATTCATTAAAAATTTATACTAAAAAAATTATCCGCCTCAGGCTCAGTGATTACGGTGAATATTCACTTCGACTTCCTCTCGGTGAATATTCACAGGTAATCACTTCGCCTTCGGCGAATAATTGTTAATTAATATATGGCAAGCATTTGTTTTGATGAATCGCGCAATTTGATTGGCTGCTGACGAGGCAAGATTTTCTCGTATTGCCCACGGGCAATACGCAATTTTTATTGCCCTGCGACGAGAGCTGAGTTTCAAACAGCAAAAAGTGTCTAAAAGTCTTTCAAAACTGTTCAAAACGAAGAAAAATAAACCTAAAATAAAAAAAGGAGCAACTGCTGTGGTTAAAGAACTTTATCAATACGTTTTTGTTAGCGAAAGTCAAAATTACAAGGTAAATTTTACGATGTTTATAACTATAAAAGCAGTCAGGAATAGTTGTGTTTTGACTATGTAAAAGCTGCAAATTTTATTTGCAGATAGCCAGGAGGAATTTGACACCATCCATGGCCAGAAATTCAGGACATGCGCCCGCAATGTATCTCAGCGGTTTTTCCTATGAAAAGTTATTCATACCTAACAAACGCAAGTTTTAAATAAAAAAATACATTTTGCTTAGTTTTTTGTTTAACTAAAGCAGAAAAATACATATATTAGGTATTGACGGCCTTCTACATACCTTTCATTTATTATGATGGGATATAAAGTGATGCGCATGGGAAACGACTCAAATATTTTGTGTATACATCGTTATCCCTCCGTGTAGCCCATACTGGAAGAAAGCCTGGTTCCTAAGCTTCTTGTTGATATCAAACATGGACGACAATTCATGAAACATCGTTCTTCTTGCAATGTTTTACGGCCTATCGACAGGGTATTTATGGGTAAAATATCAACATTTTGTCCCGTAAATTGGATCGAACAAGTTAAAAAAGTCGTATCACCATGAAATTATGTAGACAAGCAGGGGACAACATATATTTTACGACGCGAAGTCTGCAAATTTCATGAAGGGTTCGAGGGATACATGCGGCCAGAGCAAAATGTACGTTTTGAACGATTTTCTCAAGTTTTACTAT